ATCCCCGTGATGCTGAGACCATCACAGGTTAGATCCCTGAGGTGCATCGTGTCGAAGTCTCTGAGTGAACCGCTGAACCCGTCCTCTCTTTTCGTGAGTCCATCTCGATTAAAAATAAAAAAGCTTCCTTTGCTTTTCAACCTCCCAGAGCTAATGACACGTCAGAGTTCTGAGGAGCACACAGATGTCTGTGGACATATTGACAGCCACCAACAGGTGCGTTCAGACACTTTGACAGCCACTTACCGGCTGTAACTTCAGCTCCACTGACACCTGATCGCCTAATTTAAGAGCTAAGAGCCCGGACTGACAACCAGTAGTTAGACGGGCCCGAAGCATGTCCTGCCTCAGCCTTTTTATGTTTCTATTTGAGTTCGGGGGAAACTGCTGCAGTGTGTGTTTTACGCATGTTTATGAGATTCAAGCACACTTTTCCAACACAGATGTGTGAAACGTGCCTGACACTGAAAAACACATCAAACGTTATTAAAGAAGACAAAAACAACATCAAGATGTCATCATGAGTCCGTCACATTATGAAGTGGTGGTTTTGAACATACAACACACTCTTCATCACCTGTTCATGCTAATGCAGCGACACCGAGCGCTCGTCTGAGCTGCAAACAGGAAGCTGTGAACGCCGTCGGCTTCTTCAGCGACTATGAGAGGAACTGCTGCAGGTTCACTGAGCTTGGTCGGGTTTCTTTGGGCTCTCGCAGCACCAGATGCTGGAGCCGTGTCGATCATCTTGTTACCGTGAGAGAGGTCACAGTTAAACACAATCACTCCTCAGTACTTACTGGACATTAAAACATGAAAAGACACTTTCTGAAACTGCAATCAGTCCAAAGATCATCATCACTCGCTCCACCACAACCACATCACCATCGTCCACCTTCGTCCAGTGCGTGTTTCCTTCTCTCTCTTTGTATTCTTATCTTCTCCTGCCTGTAGTCCAGAGTTTCACTGCTTGTTTGCTCTTCTTTATTGTAACCTACATTATGTAGAGCATCTTTGAGAACTAAGAAAAGCATTCTATAAATGTGATGTATTATTGTTATTGATTTGCTTTGGTTGAAGGTAAGTGTCGGTAGCAGGAATATGTCTTATAATGAGAGTTAACCCGAGAAAGTGTGGCTCATCGTCTATGATCGAATGTCTCCATCTCAAACATCCAACCTTTTACAGTGTAATTTGGTAATAATTACAGTACAGGCAAGAATCATCATCATCATCATCATCATCATCATCATGATGATGATGATGATGATGAAGAATAACAAAGACTATTGGTACGATTGCTGTTAATTCATTCCTAATACGTGCTGATGTAACCTGGAGAGCCTTTTAGTTCTTCCATCCAAGCGTACAGCGTAACTTCTATGCAGAAGGAAGTCCTCTATAATACTCGTGATGATTCATGATCGATGGTACCAAAGCACAGCAACCCACACTTCTCTGGCTGAGTGCCATCAATCTGGACTTGTTCACACTCGGCTGCATCCCATTCCAGTGTGCACCAGAGTGTCTGCAGAAAGCAAAGATATAATCCTGAGGTCACCGTACTTGACCCTGTCCGTGAGACAGAGTCAGAGGCGAGGCACGACCCGGCAGGAGCCCGACCCCCCCGCTGGGAATACGCCTGACTTCCTGCCAAGGACACGGACACAACCGTTGGTGATTAACAAAGAGGTTTCCCCTCCACACTGGGAGATATTCTGCTTTAAGAGGCGTTGGGTAGTTTGTTATCTGCTACAACTGTGTTCACTTCATCTCCAACAAAGCAGCAGCAGCGGTTCAGAGAGAGACCAGAGTCCAGCGTAGATCCACCAGTGGTCCCAGCGTTGGTCCTCAGATAAGAGGTGGACGTTGCTCTGCGTCTGCCCATCCTTATCCAGAGGCAGCAGATAAGAAGTCTCCGTCTCTCTCTCTCTGTGGATCAATCGATGATGAGCATTCAGAGAAACAAGCCGTGCTAATGTGGTCACCGTGCTGAGGCCGTCCTCTCAGCCAAAGCACTGTTCACTTCCTCCAACGCCTTCAGTAAGATGGATGCTGTCAGCGAACATTGTGGCTGGAAACATTTTCAGTTTGGGTTTTTTGCTGTTCCCGGTGATGTCTGAACTCGTAGACATATTTCCAAGAGGCAGGTTTTGTTTGGTTGCCAAGTTAAGGATGAATATGAAGCAGTACGGTGTGAAAGGAGCAGCTGGTACAAGCATCCAACCGGTACGAGTCCGGTGCTTTCCTCTATCCATCCAACACTCTGGTCTCAGAGCGGCAGGAGTCCGGTGAGTCCGGTGTTTGCAGAACTCTCGGGATGACGTGAAGCTGATAAAAAAAACACAGACTGGCAGCCTCCCACCTCACAGAGCCACTTCCTGTCTGTTGGCGCTGCCATTGGCTGCCGGAGCGATGATGGCGGCGTTGGGCGTGGTCTTCTTGATGGAGGTGAGGCGGATGTGGGAGGTGCTGTGCATGTAGCTGGCGTGGCGCTCGGGGGGGGAACCTTGAACGCATTGCAGCTGACTGAAGAAGAAGAAGAAGAAGAAGAAGAGTTAATGAGTGAGCCTTGAGAAGTTCAAATATCTTCACTGCAGACTTTAGCCCATTGGATCACATTAATAAGACTGAATCAGGACGTAGTATCAACAGAAATGCAGCATGTGGAAATATTTGGAGGAACATGATCTGCTTCCATTCCAGGTTCCATTATTAAACATGTTTTATCAGTTTCCATTTCGGTAAACTTACATCTTGGACACGGGCTCGTGTTCCAATACTTTGGCTCTGCAAAGGGTTAATAACAGTTAATCACTCTGTAATACGGCATTCAGAGACGTCACATAGAGACCGACAGAACCAGAGCTGGATCGCACCGACAGGACAAGAGACGGTAATAAAGAATGGTATTAAATAAAAGTGAATATGGAAAACAGACAAAGAGGACTGTTAGTCCGTGATGAGATGCACGAGTGACGGATGATTCAGGTTCTGTGTCCCATGAGTCACAGCCGGCTTCTTAGACAGAGACACAAACAAGGGACGCGAACAAGAGATGCGAGCAAGAGACGCGAGCAAGAGACGCGAGCAAGGGACGCGAGCAAGGGACGCGAGCAAGGGACGCGAGCAAG